TTTGTAGCCGTGTGCTTTCTGCCATGTGCTTGTGTTTTTTGTTTTGGTTCTTTGCCCCGCCCCTTTTCCCACCTTCCCTGATAGGATCCTCACCTGTCTGTAGTCTCTGTCTCCTCCCTCTCCCAGGTGTTCCCCGTTTGTTCTAGCCTTTTTAAGCCCTTTGTTCCAGTCAGTGTTTGTCTGGTCTACTCGTCACTTTGTTAGGTGTGGTTGTTGTGTGACAGCCTTATGTTTGGTTTGCTCAGTGTTTTTGTTAAGCTTAGTAGTTTGTTATTGTGTGTTCAAAGTTTCTACTGGTCTGTTTTCTTTATTAAAGTGTGCTCACAAGTACATCCAGCCTCCTTGGTCACTGCACACATGACAGTTTTATTCAGATACTCATCTGTATCCTCTATATTTGTCTTCTGTCTGTTCTAAAGGAACGGCTTCACAAAAACAATGTGAAGAGGCAGCTTGAGGAGTGTAAAGAGACATTATATTATAGAAAATAATGGACATTAGTACAGAGAAAAGATGGTCATTTAAGTGATGAGTTACAGTCTATGGGTTCATCAACTGAGCCACAAGTTCTGCTCTGTATCTGTTCATATCAGTCTGATATTGTTTGAATGGTCTTAAAATTGTCTTAATCTGTCTTAATTGCTTTTGTTTAATACAAAAACATTAATATAGAAACTTTAAGTAGTTCTTGTTTAACTTATTATGATCACACCACACAAACACTGAGACACTTCTGATTCTGGTCTGGTCTGACTGTAAACGTACCAGCTTTCCATGCTGATGTCAAGCTTGTTTCCCTAACAAGGACACTGGACTTTCTGTAAGAGTACCACAAATGACTGACCACCACAGAACACTCAGATTATACCAGTAAAACAGGAGTGCTGTAAAAATATCACACTTTTCTTTCAGAATTACTACAGATCTACTACTAGTCACTGCAAGTGTACACAGTTAAAAAAGATGGTTCTTCAAGAATTCTTTACTAAAGGTAATGGCTCTGTTTAGAACCATGGGTTCTATGCAGAGCCATTTTATGCTTAAATGGTGCTTAAATATGCTTGCATGGTGAAATTGTTCTTCAGATTGATGGAAAATATGCTGTACATGGTTCTATATAGCACCAAAATGGTTCTTCTATTGATAAAGTCCAGTGTGTAAAAAGAGAACAATTTTTGGTGCTATATAGAACCATTTTCAAAAAGGTTCTATATATAATTATACAAAATACCATTTTGACCAAATACAATGACCAAACACAATAACATTGACCAAATAGTACCTGCTCTGTAAGGGTCCATGGGGGTCCTGACCACTGAAGAACAGGGTAAAAGGGGGCTAACAAAGTATGCAGAGAAACAGATGGACTACAGTCTGTAACTGTAGAACTACAAAGTGCACCTATATAGTAAGTGAAACTGATAAAATGGACAATGAGTGTAGAAACAAGGAGGTGGTCATAATGTTATGCCTGCTCGGTGTATTTTTCATCAATCTTAAGAACCATTTCACCATGCAAAGAATCATTTAAGCATGACATGATACTATATAGAACTGATGGTTCTAAATAGAACCATTACCTTCACTAAAAACCCTTAAAGAACCATTTTTTGGAATAAGTGTGTACTACAAAATCCCAACATGGATACCAGAGAATACTACAGAAACATGACACCAGCTCCATAAATCTGCCACAGGAATATGACAGGAATTACCACAGGAACAACAATAACCTGTGGAAAAGCATCCAAAAATACCACATAATACTGTACTGTACTCTTACTGTATTTACATTTTGGATTTCCTCAAATTGAACCCTCTAATAAAGGAGGCGTGGAGAGAGGAAATGTGGAGAGATGTTTCCCCAGTAAGAGTGATATTCCTGTGTGTGTGTGTGTGTGTGTGTGTGTGTGTGTGTGTGTGTGTGAGTGAGTGTGTGAGAGAGAGAGAGAGAGAGAGAGAGAGAGAGAGAGAGAGAGAGAGAGAGAGAATGTACAATGTTAAATTATTACTGCCACATATATTTATTGCCGTTAACACATTTTCCTAGTTTGACCCTTTGAATTACCCATATCAGACTGACGCCCAGCTGCTCCGTGACTGCAGCCCTCTTGTTCAAATAAATGTTAGCAAGTTCCATTAACGGCTCTCTTTATGAAAGTTATTTCCAGTTACTGCTGTGGTGAATTTATTTACTACCAAAGTTCATTGAGTCTCAAGCATCATTTACAAGCAAAATGTACCACTGATGTGGCAACTATTACTAATTTGACAAACCAAACTGGGCAGTGTTTGCAGAAGAACTATGGATAAATCGATAAGCTGCAAAAAGCAACAGCAAATGGTGATTAACTACACAAAATAATGCAATAAACTGTAATTAATTAGTGTTTTTAATTATTTTGTTACCTCAGTATTTCCAGTTTACAGTGTGAACTCTTCAATCCCACTGAGAGCAGCTTCACTCCGGAGTCCTGGAGGTCATTGCTACTGAGGTCCAGCTCTTTCAGAGAGGAGTTTGCTGATTGCAGAATAGAGCTGAGAATTTCACAAGCTTCGCACCAAGCTTACAGGATGCTAATCTGAAAATGAAAAATAAATAGCAAAAAATTAAAAACCCCTCTTTACTGGTTTAATTTATGAGTTTTGTGTGCAAAATAATACTTTCTTACAATATTTAAAAAAGACATCTATTGATTGATTATTGAACCGTGTGTCCCATTTTCCTTTCACACTTTCACACTGCCCAAGCATTGATCTCCCACTGCGGTCCAGATATAGTTCCACTATGCATGTGTGATTTACCACATAACATCACTGATGTACATCATTAAGAGTGGGCAGGTAAAAATAGACTAAACAGACCATGATCATTATTATGTCTCTGTCAGAAACACATTCATCATCTCCTTGTTTTTCACAATCAGAATCACTTTGTTTTGCCAAGTATGTTTTGCATATAAGGAATGTGTAGGGTAAGTAAAACCTAAACAGACCAGAGAAGTGATTTTAGGTAAAATAACATCATCCTCCTTCACTGTAAAATCATTATAACACACAGTTCTAACACAGTTTTCACAATAAATGGTCTTAAACGCTGGAGTTAACGTATAACTGCTAATTCACCAACCTTTAACGCTGAAGACTGAAACGCTGCTTTGAAAGTCGTTGAACTTTGAAAGACATTTTACAAGAAACTCGTGGAAAATTTCCTGAGATGCAAGAAAAGCAGCTATAGCTGAGCTAAAGCTTAAAGCAGAGCAAAGTAAATCTGTGTTTTTGTTTATATTATATTTTTAGTCTATATTAGCACATCAGCATTTACTGAGACATATTAACAGCCATGATGGTAAAACAGACATAAAATGTTGTGGCTCCCAAGGTGGTTTCGTTTTTGTTGAAATGACAAAATGGCTCTTCTTAACATTTTGGTTGCGACCCCTGAGCTAAGCCTGCTGGTAAGAGGGTGATCAGCGCGTGACCGTTTGCTCCGACTGTCTGCGGCTCAGTCAGGATTGCACAATCAGCTCTAGCCCCAATAACGGGCGCGTTCTGTGGTTCAGATTTTGCGCGGATTGCCTGAAGCCTGTAGCGAAATTGTAGCAAAAATTATCACTATAGCTACACATTCATAAAACTGTAGCGGCTACAGCTATTAGCTACAAAAATGTGTAGTTAACTACAAAAAGTAGCCCACTACTTAGCTACTCCCCCATCCCTGCATGATACTCATGATATTCACTGTGTGAATAGTTATTAACATATATGCACAGATATGTCAGGAGTTGAAACCCTGCAATAGAGCTTTCCAACTGAGAGCTATGCAGGTGATCCAAAAAAATTTAAATAACTTTATTTTATGATTTAATCATGAACATGCACTAGACATGCATAATACAGAACTGTGCTTATTGTGGAAACTTTTACAATTAGAATGATTAAATAATCAAGCACATTACATAACAGTGCTTATTGTGGAAGCCTTTACTTTAAAAGTAGAATTTGTTTACCTCCTGCTAAATAATGCTGTTTTCTAATAGGACCTCTTGGGTATTTGTTATGTTTTGCTAGCATCATGCTAATACTTTATATTCTTCATTTTACCACACTGGGTTTAATCCCACACAGTTCTAGCCTACACACAGACAGACAAGTTTCTAATAGACATTCCTGTAACCCATTCTTCACTTTGTATGTTACATCTTAACACTGAATCCTTAAGTATATATTTTAACTACATTTGCCTGTGAACTGGGTGGAATTAGATTACTACAAGTCCTCTTAGGCAAATGTCTATATTTCTGGCATATTTAAAAATAGACCCTGGAATCCCAAAACCAAAGAGATAAACAAGTAACTCAAACAGAAAAATAATAATTATATTAACTCTACATACTGGTGATCATTATCTCCATCATATTATATAAGAACAGTCCATTTGAGTAACTAAGCATAACAAAGAAGTAACCAGTGAGGTTCATGTTATTGACTTTTCAATGAATTTCTGTAGATTATCTTATTTTAGTACTGAAATATATATTCAAATATTCAAAAAGTACCTTGTAGCAAAGCTAAAAATGTGCAAATTTAAAAAAGTGACATAATCATGGTAATTACCTAATCTGTTATCACAGTTCATAATATTGTGATACTGTATATAAAACTATGTTCAAAGGTAAAACATCTTTATGTTCTGAACTTCATTTTTAAAATAGTTGTACCATTACTGTGTTGGTGGTTATACAGGTACAATAAGAATGAATTCACAGAAAGTTCACCTGAGTTTCTCCAGTTTGCAGTGTGAACTCCTCAGCCCAGCAGAGAGCAGCTCCACTCCTGTATCCTGCAGGTCATTGGAACTGAGGTTCAGATCTTTGAGGGGGCAGTTTGCTGATTGTAGAGCAGAACAGACAGTTTCAAAGGAGTCCCTGTTGAGATTATAGCCAGCAAGTCTGCAAAAGAACAACACAGAATATAGTACAATTAAAACAAGGGGAGCCAAACTGAAGTAAGTTCTTTTTTATTAGCTTTATCGTTATGAGTTTTGTGTTAAAATAATACTTTCATAAATAAAAGCATGAGGAAAATGCTATTGACTGATTGGCATACATGTCTGTGCCAATGTCTGCCCAGTTTCCCTGTCATGCATTCACACTGGCAATACTTGATGTCACATTGACGAAATTACATCATATTTGCCTAACATTTATCATGGTTTATGATATCTTGATATTATATTTTAAAAACTGTTCTAAAAAAGCCATCAAGCAATGTAAGTTTTATTAAAAACTGTGAAGCTCCTCTAACATAAAATAAAGCATTAAACATACCAGTACCTGAACTGTAACCAGAATAAAATCAAGCTCAGAATAAACACATCACTTCTTTATTGTTTACATTTTTAAAATTATTATTATTATTATCATCATTATTGTGAACATGCACCAGCAGTGCATATCATTATATAATACTGCTTAACCGCCGGGGGTCGACGAATGTTCTGGTGCATCAAATTTTCTTCTAACAACATTTACAATGATATATAAATGTTTCTATTAATATCTTTGCACTAACAGTGCAGAAATTCATTTCACACAGTTCCTGAATTTGTAAAGTCACCCTTTCGATCCCATCGCATTGAGAGAATGTACGTGACTCACATACGGAGTTCTGAGCCCACGAAGACAAGTTGAGACACATGCCATTTGCCTTGTGGATTTGTGTACCCATCATCTGGCTCTCACCTGTAATTGGTGGACTTGTGTCAGTCTATAGTTTGTGTGAAACTGACCAATGGACTCTCGGGAAGGACTGACCCATCATGCCGGAAACCCTTTTTTGTTCAGTGGCCTTGGTTGCAGACGTGAATTTCTGTGTAAAAAGTTTGTGGTTCCGGAAAGTAGTGATCAGGATAACATTTATCTACTATTTTTTTCATACATTCCACTCCTTTTTAGAACCTAAGGCTTTGGTAAACCCATTCAAGCACCAAAACAATTTGTCCAAATGAGTAAAGCTCAAGAGGCATTAAGAATTTTTACATTTTTAACCAGACTTTTTCAGCTTTATGGTTGAATTATTTCTTCATGCAGTGATCTTGGTCAAAACGGCGCCGTTAGACAGAGAGCTGAGATGGTTCTCAACATTTTGATATATAATGTCTTGGTATCATGTCTTATATGCTTATGCAAGTGCCTTTAAAGTGCACCTGTACAGTTGCTCCAGTTTTCCCCAAAGCCAACCCCAGGTTTGGTATCCAATGTTCAAAATGGGTGATAACAGCTCCAGCCTCCAGAGATAATGGACAATTTTTCACAACAGGAGTTTAACTCTAGTTCCCTCTTGACAGAACTAAGATACTAAATAACCTTGACGCCCCTCAAAGGACACAGCTGTGTGTTTTTCCAGACCTTCTCTCTCCGTCTTATCTACCACAACACAGGGTTGTAAAGTCCCACAAACATTTCACTGAGCCTTTGAGCCTTTTCTGTGACTTTAAAGAGTCTATTTTCCAACATTAAGTAAGCCTTTTATACCACATCAAAACTGAACCTTTTCATCAAAGACTGTGATATGGTTTTATCACTCTGCTGCCTTGTTAGTTTGTCTCATATTCCTATATAAGCAGAACGATGCCAATCTATCACACGCAGGCGCAGTAAGGCTTGACACTTGGTCGTATGTTCAGGTCTGATGCCCGGGCTGCCTCTGCTAGCCTTTCTCTAAAGCTAGAGTAATTCAGTGTCAGCATATTTACACCCTTTAAATTTAACAAACTGTCTCAATGTTTACCAGAGACCACCAAGATTTCCTGTAATTTCTTGTATTAGATCCATGTATGCCAACCTGTTGATAAGATCGATTACTCCATGGTCCATTTATCTTGTTCATGTATCCTGTTTGAAATGCGTAATGTGTGTGTGTGTGTGTGTGTGTGTGTGTGTGTGTGCTCCACTAAGTATTCTGGTGCAATATGGCTGCCACTTTACATCCGTTTTTCATTTGTTTTGTTTTGTGTTGTTTGTGTGTGTATTTTGATGTTTCCCTGCTGGCTGAGGAGTTTGCCATCATATCCACTGAGACAGCAGCCAAGAGCAATCATGGCTCAGAGGCTTCTTGGGCTGTTTGGGTAATGCTACATATCTTCTATGATGCAGCCTGGACCAGCCACTTGAGTGACGCTGTATTGTGGCTATGAGGACCGGGGACCTGATTGACATGACATCACAGATATGTGGCTGCTCGGGCTGACTGCATGGATGATGCTGCACTGTAGCTGTGGGGCTGCCTGAACCAGTAGTGTTCAGCTGCATGAGCAGTGCTGTGCCAGAGCTATGAAGCCTCTTGGGCCAGCTGCATAAGCAACACTACACTGCAGCTATGAGGCTGCCTGGACTGGTGGTGTTTGCCTGCAGGAAAATGCTACCCTTTCATGGTTAAAGACATTTTCAGCCCTCAAGTCTTCCCAGGCTGGCTGCCTGTATGACGCACCTCAGTTGTGGAGTGAGACTTAACCCACGGCTAAGGACTCTATACCATGGTCACTGTGGGAACTGCAGAGCTGTGTGTGTGTGTGTTCTGTTTTATTTGTTGTTGATTATGTATTTTGTTAATTTCTGATCTCTTTGTAAAGCATCCTTGAGTTCATGAAAGGTGCTATATAAATTGAACTTTTAATTATTATTATTATTATTATTATTATTATTATTATTATTATTATTCCAATTAATAAACAAGCCAGTTATTTGTAACCAATATGCTTTACATGTGATTTATCTGGCTGAATGATCCCTGACCTAGGGTAATCCTCCCCACTTTCTTAGAAATGAGATCAAACCAAGTTGTTTGTGATACAGGAGTAAAACAGGTTAAATTACTATTATTGCTATTTAAACTGCTCATGTTTTTCATAAGTAAACATTGTTTATCCTCAACTAAAATAACACTGATTTGTGATCTCACCCTAATGTTGTTTGTGTTATATTAGCACTAAGCTAACAGAGCTATTTATTCTTTAGTTTCCCACACTGGGTTTAATAATACTCAGGTATAGCCTTTAGCATTTAGTTTTTCTGTTTTGTTTACTGAGATGCATAAACACTCTAAAGTAATGACTATTTCTATATGTGAATAATCATTTACCATCTTTCAGACTCTCTGGTTTCTCTTGCACATGCCTGAAAGAGGGTCATGCGAGTGGCAGAACTAACCCTAAGAAAGATGAGGATTGAGAGTGGTGCCTGCAGCTAATCAGTCAGCAGTGAACAGTACTGCTAGTCCCCCACCCTTCAATACCATTATGTCTTGTTGGTATCAGTCTTGAACAGTAATCAAAACCATAAAGCTTGTTATGGTATCAGAAACTCAGACTTCAAAATCTGTGCTGGGCCATGGTAGTGAATTCTGTGAACATGTCCAGCATGTTTGTAAATTAACTCAGACACATTTGGATTCTACTCAAACAAAAATGAAACAGATGTGGAGTCACATCTGCTGGAAACTAATGCTACACTGCTACTTTGCCACCTCTGCTGTTACTACTTGTGTGTTCCTGTTCCGGAGCTGGTAAGATTATTGCACACACTGACTAGAAATCACTCACAAAAATACTGATCAAAAGAATACCTACCTATTTTGGCTTTAAGTAATCTGTAATATTCATAGCTCTTTATTCTCAAACATTCAGAACAAAATATAGCACTGCTGTCAGTGAGAGACTTTTGTGCACATACCTTCACTCATGCTGGTTTACTGGTTTTGCTTATGATCACAATGTGAGATCATTTGTTGATTTTATAGAACGTATTTCTAATAAATGTTAAAAACAAGCTTTTAAAACATTTTTTCAACAAATATCACATTACCCCAAGTTACAGTTAAGAGTCGTAAAGGGGACTCAAGCACACCTAATAACCTGGCAAATAAAAGAAAAGTTAAATCAGGTGTGTTTGAGCAGCTAAATCACTAAACTCTGCTGGACACTGACCCTCCAGGACTGTGACTTGTGCACCCCTGGGCTACAGTTTGCCAGTGACACCAACAAGGTTAAGCTACAAAGGAGGGTTTATGGTAAAGTGGAAAATAAATACACCTGCTGAAAGAATCTAAAACCTAAACACTAAATTACTAAAATTTATTTTAAAACTTTTACTGGACATGTCATAACAAACCATCAACATTCAAATATGAGTAGTTATATGAATCTAAATATATTACATTTATGTGGAAATAACACTCACAGGGCTTTTCTGCAGACGGTCACAGCTGGGATCAGTCTCCTATAACCCTCCCCTGATGTCCTGTATTTCTTCAGGTCCAGCTCATCCATCACCTCTCCTGAGTTCAGGATCATATAGGCTACTGCTGAACACTGTGCAGGAGAGAGTTTCTCCTCTGAGTGTTTCTCTGATTTTAGATACTCCTCAATCTGTCTGAAGAGAGTCTGGTCATTCATTTCAGACAGACAGAAGAAAAGATTAATGGATCTTTCAGTTGAGATGTGATCTTTATTTATTACTTCCTTGATGTACTCTTTAATTGTCTCTGGTGGTCTCTGTTTGTGTCTCAGTAGACCCTGTAGGAGTGTCTGATTTGAATCTTGTGAGATGCCCAGTAGAAAACGGAGGAAAAGATCCAGGTGTCCATTCTGACTCTCTAAGGCTTTATGCAGTGATCCCTCCAGCAGCTTATAGAGTGGAACTTTCTTAGACCGCCCTCTGTATTGTGAGTTTAAAAACCCATTTAGTGTATTTCTTGGTTTTAAACACTGCACAGGCTCCATGATCTGGTTCTCGTAGCAGTGAAATACAAAGACAGCAGCCAGAAACTCCTGAAAGCTCAGATGAACAAAGCTGTAGACCTTCTTCTGGAAAAGCACACATTCCTCCCTAAAGATCTCAGTGAAAATCCCAGAATACACTGAGGCATCAGTAATATCAATGCCGTTCTCTCTCAGGTCCTCTTTATAGAACATCACATTGCCCTTCATCAGCTGGTTGAAAGCCAGTTTGGCCAGTTTCAGTATCATGGTTCTGTTGGACTCCAGCAGCTTCTTTGGGTTTCTCTCATGTTTCTCCTCATACTTCTCGCTCTTCATGTTGGTCTGAGTGATCAGGAAGTGTGAGTACATTTCAGTCAGAGTTTTAGGGATTTCTGTGTGACGCTGTTTCATGATTCTCTGAAGAACAGTGGCTGAGATCCAGCAGAAGACTGGAATGTGGCACATGATGTGGAGGCTCCTCACTGTCTTAATGTGGGAGATGATTCTCTGGGCTTGGTCTTCATCACTGATCCTCTTCCTGAAGTACTCCTCCTTCTGTGGGTCATTGAATCCCTGAATTTCTGTCACACAGTTGATGTATTTAGGAGGGATCTGATTGGCTGCTGCTGGTCGGGAGGTTATCCAGATCAGAGCAGAGGGAAGCAGCTCTCCTTTGATGAGGTTTGTCATCAACACTCCCACTGATGATGTCATGGTGATGTCAGATACTTTCTCACACTGTTCAAAGTTCAGTGGAATTCTGCTTTCATCCAGACCATCAAATATAAACACAGCTTTGATCTGATCATAAATCTCTGGGTCCAGATCTTTGAGCTCAGGATGGAAACCACACAGAAGTCCATGAAGACTGTATTGATCGCCTTTAATCAGGTTCAGCTCCCGGAACGGAAGCACAAACATGAAATCTACATCCTGATTTGTTTTTCCTTCAGCCCAGTCCAGAATGAACTTCTGCACAGAGACAGTTTTTCCAATTCCAGCGATTCCTTTAGTCAGAACTGTTTTGATCTTGTTTTGATCCGTTTCTCCTTTTGGACCTTGTAGATGTTTAAAGATATCTAAGCAGTCGATTGGAATGTCTTGTAAGCGTCTCCTGGTTGTTTTCTCCATCTGTAGAACCTCATGTTCTTCATTCACTCCTTCACTCTCTCCCTCTATGATGTAGAGCTGTGTGTAAATCCTGTTCAGGAGGGTTTTATTCTCTTCAGTTTTGATTCCCTCAAATAAGCTCTCGTACTTGTTCTTCATGCTGGTTTTGTGTCTCTCTAAGACTCTGTTCAGGACGTCGTTCTCTGGTTGATAAGAATCCAGATGCAGGTTTTCAGTGTTTATCTGTAGTGCTGTTTCTGTGGCGTTCAGCCTGAGAGGATCAAACACAGAAACACAAACTGTTTAAAATGCATCTAACTGATTAAGCTGCTTGTTGCAAATGTGTTTTCCATGTAATTAATATAGGAGCTCCTTCTGTAGGTTTGCCTACAGATTTATTTATTAAGACATTTATTATGTCTTACATAATAAAACCATGAGCCAGATTCAACATTATGTTGAGAGCAGATAACGTCACAATAACACATTCTGTCATTCAGGAATGAGGATTAACAGCATGTTTACTGTTTACATAATCTGTAGCGCTATTGCCTTTTTCCTTTAGAATATCGGCCCACAAAACACACCACCTGAACTACTCAGATGTTCAGGTAAGAAGCTGATGTGAATGATCTTCACTTCAATGTCCTTAAACATGTTTGGTCACACATGCAAATATTTAACAAATTATGCACATAAAGCCACTCAGATGATTAACTAATAAATCTAAAAGTTTGATCTGTCTGGATTATTCGTTGAAGAGGAGGGTGATTTACTTGAGAAGGATTTCAGAGCGCATTAATATAGAATTCAATATTAAGTATTTTACAACAGCTCTGAATGTGACTTAGCCAAAAAAGAGGAAAGATACGAATGCTGATCACTGTCATGGTGAATTTATGAATTTGATTTAATTAACAAGCTGCACATTTTGCATGGTGTAGCCTGGTTACAGCTGAGTTTAATGAATCTGGTCCAGTGTGTCTGAAAGGCTGAAGGTCAACTGATCATGAATGCTTTCAGGTAATTCTGAGTAGCCTGGATTATTTACTCTCCAAAATATCATATCACATTCTGTATTCAGATACAGATTTTCCAAGTGAATATAAGCACATGAGATATTTAAAGTCCAAGGGAACATAGTGTATTTAATATTAACAAATATTAAGAAGTGTTCATATGATACTAAAATTGAGTGTTCTATTAAAACATTCAGCAAAGTTTCAATTAGGGCCGGACCAAACAACTGAAACATGCTAATTCATGAGGGAATTCAACGCATTTTCCCAGCACACATTTTTGCTGTACTGTCTGCACAATGTGCTGCTTTAACATGTTACTCTTGACAAACGCTTATATTGTTTATGCATTGTGAGCTACTGTAAATAACGAAAAACTTATTAGATTAGATTTTGGCACATGGACCGTGGAGCAAATTTTAGCCAAGCATCATTGGTCAAATTTACATTGGTATACACATAGAAGATAAGCGTCTCTATTTTCTGTTTTTCTGATTTCATTGTGGTAAATGTGAGAGTAACAAAGAACTTACATCCCCGCAAAACTTCTGATCAATAAACAAATACCCACAGGTGTAATTTAGTCCACTTTAGCCACTGTAGTCCACCATCTGAACCAAAGGGAAGAGGAAGGAAAAAAAACTCTGGTGCATCTTTAGAAAATGAACTGGGTATAAAAACAGCCTGATGTTCTTCAGAGATGTTGGCTAACAAATACTGCTGTCTGAAGCTGCAGCTACTGAAGCAGCATCAAAACAAACACTGATGCTGTTCATGATCAGAGGTGGGTAGAGGAGTCTAAATCAATACTCTAGTATTCATACTTGTATGTAATTATTAAGTAAAAGTACCTTCCCCAAAACAACTTGAGTAGAAATACCAAAGAAGCAGGTTGAGAATCTATTTGAGTACTGAGAACTGCAGTGGAACTTCATCCAGCATTTATCAGCATAGGAACCAAAGATTGTTTGGCTCTGTTCTTCTCTTTTTGGGATTCTTTTGGTCTAAAATCAAAGCTCCAGAGTCAGATGTGTAACCAATCACAAAGCAGGACAAATATTGCCACCATCAAAACAAACTGAAATTAAGCACAAAAAGGAATTAGTAACTAAATATGAATGACTAAAATGTAAAGGACTAAAAAGATTCCTTTACTCAGTAAAATACTTTAGTAAAAGTTAAAATATAATTTGAAAATACTCAGGATAGTAAAAATCCACTTGAGCAAATGTAACTAGTTACTACTCACCTCTGAACAGGTTTATAAAGACGTGTCATTAGCATGATATGACAGGTAATTTTAGTCAGTGGCCTAATTACATTTTGTCAACCAGCCAGCCATTTTTTTAAACAATATGTTTTGGCCCACCACTTTTGGAGATGTCACCACCCCTGGTTTAGCATCTTGTCATAACATTTAACACACACATGCACACATCATGATCAGGTGGACATCGTTCTCCACTTCATTACGTTTAGCTCCATATGAATCAAAATCAAATGAGTTAACAATAAGAAAGGCATATTTATTTAGCCAGCAAAATGAGTTTTCTAACTGAGTTTAGTTTAGGCAGGATTAGTTTAGGAGGGATTAGTTTTACATGGTGTGGGTAGGTGAGTCTTTATTAGACTACCAAAGTTTTAGTGGTTTTAGTCCCATCCAAATGCACAATGTCAGTGACTTTTCACGCAGCCTTTACAGTATTTAGGAGGGATGTAACGAGAGTTACAGTTCACAACTTTGATTCCCCAGAGTACAGTAAAGACTGTATAAAATCAGTGGGAGTTCCTAAGCAGTTAACTTGTTATTTCTTAATGTAGCCGCAGCATGTGATGTTTGTCTTCAAATGTGATGTGATGAAGAACGGCATGGGAGAAAAGTCCAGGAAAGGCAGACCTCTTCTTTTCTTTTTTTTTTTTTTCCCCTTTAAGTAGCTTTGGGACAGTTTCTTTTCTCAGCCCTCTTTTCTTTTCTTTTTTAGTTTTGGGGCAGTTTCTTCTCTCAGCCCTCTTTTCTTTTCTTTTCTTTTCTTTTCTTACACTAAGTACCGTACCGGTCACCCCTCTACAAAGGTGTGACAAACACCACTGTTTGCCTTGACCTTAAGTAGAGGAGTCCGCAGGTGTGTCGCGTTGGGCCTAATCAGCCCGCGGACTTCTGGGAATTGGAGTTCCCTGAAGTTATGGCCCTGTGCCGCCGTCGCCCTCTGCTGGCAGCTGGCAGCGCAGGCTGGACACCCTGCTGCCGTCGCCCTCTGCTGGCAGCAGGCGGCGCAGGCTGGACACCCTGCTGCCGTCGCCCTCTGCTGGCAGCAGTCGGCGCAGGCTGGACACCCTGCCGCCGTTGCCCTCTGCCGGCAGCAGGCGGGGCCGGCTGAACCCTTACAGTGTGTATGTATGTATGTATGTATTTCTACTTGCTTTATTTTATTTTCTAGTTTCATTTGCTCTTCCAATCATATTTAATTTAGTCTTGATGCAATCTGGATAATTTTCCCCCTTATGACAGTTTTTGCTCCCCCCATAAGATTTATGGGGTTACCTCTCCATTATCATTTGTTTTGAAATATTCTTTTGAATTGTGTTTTAACTCTTGCACTACTTCTGTATTAGTCAATAATGAGAAATCTAATTTAATCTCCAGTATTTGAAACAAATTTTAATCTATTACTGTATACATATGGTGTTGGAAGAGACAGAAGAAGTCTATCCCAGAATAACTATTATGAACATTGGAAAAAAAACTGAAGTCATGCAGTTCTGTGAGCACCGTCGCCATGTTTTCTTCAGTACCTGTCTCGCCAGTGTGTGAAGACGTGTCCACATGGTCTCTTTTGTCTTCTTTTTTGGTCACCTTGCCTTTCTTTTCAACTTTTTTTAAAGTGGAGTGGATGTTGCAGTTTTCATGTTTAGCAATTTGTATCGATTAATTAGACTTAAATCATGATGTGGCTAGTTTTCTAAGGGTTTCTTCCCCAAGTCAAGCTGCTACTCCTATCATGACGTGACCGGAAGTCCTCACCTTTACCTTGGTTTAATACTTGTTAACAGTCTGTGTGCTTGTTTGATCTGTTTAGTATGTTACATGTCACACATATGCACTTACCAAGACTAATTCCTTGTATTTGTAACATAATTGCCAAAATAAAGTGATTCTGATCCTGAAATTTCTACATTCTATAAATTTCTAGGATTTACATGATGTACGAACCCCAAAAGAGTAAAATTAGTCAGAATGCACATCTTCACATGTACAGGTTGTGTTGTTATCTAACTCGCTGTGCTCAGCTTTTTATTCACCTCAACTTCGAATGCAGGGAATTATATAATGTGGAAAACCGGCAAGGGCGCTTACGATCTTCTAATAAATAAAATAGTTTGGGGGAGGGAATTGTTATTGCTGGTTTGCTTTCACACACAAGAATTCCATCCAAATCTTGGACTGATTGCACAATCACTTTTCTGCATGCAGGTTTGCACAATGGCAGGCAGTAACTTCATCAGTTTGCTGCTTTTTATTATTTTCATTGGATTCAAGCACTCAAGCAGCAAAGAACAGCACTTTTTCCTCTGCTGTCCACAACAATCCTTTTCCTACCATCACAACTTGAAAAGGGAAGTAAGACGATAAGTCGAAACAGTCACATTACAAAATAAACCAATCACACAACCCCACATGTGGCACCAGGAACGGATGGCTTTAGTGTGAAAACACACTAAATCTTGAAGATTCTTGGGGGCCAATTGGTGAATCTTGATCCTTTCACAAATTTTCTATTTGTTCTGGGGACTGATGGACCATTCCAACACCTTTATTTTCTTCCTATGGAACCAATTGTTAGTCCCCTTTGCAGTATGTTTTGGATCATTGTCTTGTTGTAAAGTTCACTGGCATCTCGTCCTCATCGTCCTGGTGGATGGCAAAAATTTTTTTTCAAGACATTCCTGGTACATGGATCCAATCATCTTCTCTTCGATAATTTGGATTCCACTTGTACCATGAGAAGAGAAGCACCCCCATACCATGATACTTCCACCTCCAAACTTCACCGTAGGTATGGTATTTTTAGGGTCATATGCAGAGTCATTTCTCCTCCCAACATGATGTGTTGCATTGTTGCATTGTTGAGTTTGATTTTTGTCTCGTCTGACCACATTAGTCTTCCGGTAATCTAGAGGCTTCTCCAGATGTTCTGTAGCAAACTTCAAACAAGCTTCAACGTGACCTTTCTTCTTTAATGGAGTCTTCCAGGCTGATGGCCAATGGAGACCATAGCTGTGGAGTGCACTGCCTATTGTTTTCTCTGTGATGACTGTACTCCAGGGTTGGGACAGCTACTGAAAAATTAGTAGTTAGCTTCTTTGTAGCTACTTTCTCAAAATTTGTAGCTAGCTACAATTTAGCTACTTTTCCAGAAAAAAGTAGTGGCTACTTTTTAGCTACTTCTTGAAAAGTAGTGGCTAAAGTAAGTTTAATTGTAACCAACGATCAAACTTCCACAACTGAAGGTGTGATATCCAACAAAATTTAGACTAAGTAAAGGCAAAGTCAGCCATTCCAGGTTTTTCCGAACAAAAATCAACAAAAATAACCAAAACCAAACCAAACAATTTTGTGCAAAGCGTTGTCAACTGTTGAAATAAAACTGCTCCAATTTAAACATTTCAGCAAGATGTGTACAGACATGACATTCAGAGATCTTTGTTAAACTTCAGCAACACTTTAGCCTCAAATTCTCATTAGTGACCCTGATCTGTGCAGTGCTGTTAGTGATAGTCTATAATGAAAATGTTTTTTCCGCTTTAGCTATGTCAGGAGTCGGCAACATGCGCCTCTTTTACTGTGCTGTTGCGTCTCCACACCAGAACATAATAATCCTCCTTTGCTGTTAAATAAAGCTCTGCTGATCATTATCACACACAGTTCTAGCACGTTTTTTTTTGCAATAAAAGGTCTTAAACGCTGGGGTTAATGCATAACTGCTAATTCACCCTGAAGATTGACGCGCAGACTGCTGATCACTGGACGGGGTCACAGTGACACAGATAACAGTCTCGCCTAGCTCATAGCTAATGAAACGGCAAAGAGAAAGATTTAAGACAGACATGGATAATTCGGGGCAGCACGGTGGCGCAGTGGGTAGCGCTGTCGCCTCACAGCAAGGATGGCCTGGGTTAAATTCCCGGCCGGGTGACCAGGGTCATTTCTGTGTGGAGTTTGGGGTTTCCTCCGGGTACTCCGGTTTCCTCCCACAGTCCAAAAACATGCAGTCAGGCTGATTGGACACGCTAAATTGCCCCTAGGTGTGAGTGTCTGTCTGCCCTGTGATGGACTGGCGACCTGTCCAGGGTGTATCCTGCCTTCCGCCCAATGACAGCTGGGATAGGCTCCAGCACCCCACCGCGACCCAGAAGGATAAGTGGTTTAGATGATGGATGGATGGATAATTTGGAGATTAATGGACTGGACAGCTGGTTTCCTGATACGTTTGATTTGCAGGGAAAAACTGTCAAACACTAAGTTGCGAAGCTGAAGTCGCTTCTTGTTCAAATTGTCCCGTTCCACCTTAAATGGCGCAGCAGTACATTCTGGCTCATCAGGCACCATTTAAGGTGGAATATTTAAGGACAATTCAAACAAGAAGCTGGTGAATGAGAAGTGACTTCAGCCTTGTAAAGAGTTGAATGTTGAGACATTTCACAAGAAGCTGTTCCACTTTTGAGGAAAAGTTTCCTGACTGAAATGTCAGAAAAGCAGCTATAGCTGAGCTAAAGCTTAAAGCAGAGCAAGGTAAGTCTGTGTTTGCGTTTATATTATATTTTTAGCCTATACCAGTACATTGGCACATACTGAGATACACACTATATTGCCAAAAGTATTCAGTCACCCATCCAAATCATTGAATTTTGGTGTTCCAATCTCTTCCATGGCCACAGGTGTATAAAACCAAGCACCTAGGCATGCAGACTGCTTCTACAGACATTAGTGAAAGAATGGGTCGCTCTCAGGAGCTCAGTGAATTCCAGCGTGGTACCGTGATCGGACGCCACCTGTGCAACAAGTCCAATCGTGAAATTTCCTCGCTACAAAATATTCCACAGTCAACCGTCAGTGGTATTATAACAAAGTGGAAGTGATTAGGAACAACAGCAACTGAGCCACGAAGTGGTCGGCCACGTAAAATGTCAGAGCGGGGTGAAGCAGATGCTGAGGCGCATAGTGCGCAGAGGTCACCGACTTTCTGCAGAGTCAATCGCTACAGACCTCCAAACTTCATGTGGCCTTCAGATTAGCTCAAGAACAGCATAGAGAGCTTCATGGAATGGGTTTCCATGGCTGAGCAGCTGCATCCAAGCCTTACATCACCAAGCGCAATGCAAAGCGTCGAATGCAGTGGTGTAAAGCTCCGCCACTGGACTCTAGAGCAGTGGAGACGTGTTCTCTGGAGTGACCAATCACGCTTCTCCATCTGGCAATCCGATGGACGAGTCTGGGTTTGGCGGTTGCCAGGAGAACGGTACTTGTCTGACTGCATTGTGCCGAGTGTAAAGTTTGGTGGAGGGGGGATTATGGGGTTGTTTTTCAGGAGCTGGGCTCGGCCCCTTAGTTCCAGTGAAAGGAACTCTTAAGGCTTCAGCATATCAAGAGATTTTGGACAATTTCATGCTCCCAACTTTGTGGGAACAGTTTGGGGAGTTTGGCCCCTTCCTGTTCCAACATGACTGCGCACCAGTGCACAAAGCAAGGTCCATAAAGACATGGATGAGCGAGTTTGGTGTGGAAGAACTGGCCTGCACAGAGTCTCTCTCAACCTGATAGAACACCTTTGGGATGAATTAGAGCGGAGACTGCGAGCCAGGCCTTCTCGTCCAACATTAGTGTCTGACCTCACAAATGCGCTTCTGGAAGAATGGTCAAAAAATTCCCATAAACACACTCCTAACCCTTGTGGAAAGCCTTGCCAGAAGAGTTGAAGCTATTATAGCTACAAAGGGGGGGCCGACATCATATTAAACCCTATGGATTAAGAATGGGATGTCACTCAAGTTCATATGCGTGTGAAGGCAGATGAGCCAATACTTTTGGAAATATAGTATATTTACAGCCAAGATGGTAAAACAGACATAAAATGTTGTGGCTCCCAAAGTGGTTCCATTTTTGTTGAAAGGACAAAACAGCCTCTACACAAACATTTGTAGCCACTACAGCTATTAGCTACAAAAATTTGTAGTTAGCTACAAAAAGTAGCACTTAGCTACTCCCCCATCCCTGCTGTACTTGCTGCTTCCAGGTCTTTCGGGAGCTCTTGTCAAGTCATCCCTGGCTTCGGGGCTGCTCGTCTGACTAACTTTCTGACTGTCTGGTCATAAATGTATCAAGAAGCTCCTGTGCGTAGGCGGTTGATGGTCAAATGATGTTCCTTCCACTTGCAGATAATGGCCCCAATGTTGAGAAATCCATTGGTAACTACTGCCATCGCTATATGCTCAACGATGTTGTTGGGAAGGTCTTGGGAGAGATCTCTGCCTCGACCCATCATGAGATATTTCTTGTGGGACAGCTTGGTGACAAATGATTTAATGTAAATAGCTGCATTGGAAATATGTTTAATAAAAAAAAAAATTACACATACTTATTGTCCTCCTTGTAGACAAAATCTATATGAAATAATTTAGAAAGAATTACGTTTTGTACACATGTAAAACATATACGGAAATATATTTCCTTTGCATATGAGAAGGGTCTGATGTATTAAAGAATTACATTACTGACATTGCACATTGCACATTTATATACATCTATTATTATATATCTATTATTATCTATAATTCACTGAGATTGTGGAATATGTTATGTTCTTTTTAAGCTTCTTTTATCCTTAAGTTGTAAAGCTCACTCACTACTGATCATATGAATGGTCTGAGTGTCAGTGCTGAACTTGTTTCCTTTAATCTTACTCCACATCTCTGCAAATACTGACTCTGGTCTAAGCTCTGAACAGTTATTGATTAGAGTACTTACTTCTGCGTCTCCTGACTTACTACAAAATGATCAGTCATTAACAGCTGCACTGTATAAATCCTCTTTGTTTGAATTTTCACATTTAGGCAAGTCTATGCTGGGACTTCAGAGCTCAACATTAAAACGAACTTCCAATATCCTGTGGCCTCCTGACTCTCTCCTTTTGGCAAAGACAAAGATTTACGACAAGATGAAAAGCCAATAAGCAGCCGGCTGAAGTCCCTGACTTCTTGATCTGCCGCCCATCATCTGTGTAATATGTTTGGTATGTATGTCAAATTTCGAAAGTCAGTGTGTAACAGCAGGCAGAACAATAATCTTTTAAGACTTAATTCTTGAGTTTAATTTTGTCAACTGATTCATTAATATTAATATTTTTATCGATAAACATAAAACTCAGGAACACCTTTGCTCCTCAGGAAATGAAAGCTCAGGAACCTCCTTTGCTTTTTTGATATGAAAGTTTTTAAACTATCGCCTTGTTACTCATCAGTGTTATACTGAAAGGAAGGAACTCACTCTGGGTCAGAGGACACAGGTTCACTGCTGAAACCAGGAGACTGCCCCATGGACACACAGCTGGTTTCTCTTCCTCCTCTTCTGAATTCAGGAGGGTTCCCCATGGACCAGTCACTCTTCATAGACACACAGCTGGTTTCTCTTCCTCCTCTTCTGAATTCAGGAGGTAGCCACATGGACCGGTCACTCTTCATAGACACACAGCTGGGTCCTCCTCCATTGCTGAATTCAGGAGGTAGCCACATGGACCGGTCACTCTTCATAGACACACAGCTGGTCTCTTTTTCAGTGTTCAGTGGAGGTTCCATCATGGACCTTATAAGCAGGGTGTTAATATCAACCTGAAATCAAAACAGATGTTTTTACTTTGTTAGTTCATGTATTTGGTTTTAAGCATGATTCATCACATCATATGATTTAAAAGACAATATCACTTTACAGGCCCGCAATAAGACTGAACGGTTAGAAATTAATTTATTAAAGGTTATTGCCAAGTTCAAACACCTTAAAACTCATTAATAAGCAGTATTGAATGACTTTGGGGGTACGTCAAAAAAAAAATCTGACATTAATCTTTGTGGTTCATTTTACAGCCACAGACTCTCTCTCACACACATTGTGCCCCCATATTGATGCTGCAGCATTTAAGATTACAAAATCAAAAAAAAATCCGTCATCTGCCTCCCTGGGCTTTTACAAGAACTCCTGACTGACCCACACCCATAATACAGCCATAGAAAAGTATCTCTAATATTGCTCATTTATTATTATACATTTTAAGGTAAATATGAACAAAATCAATATAAAAATGTAGAAGTACATTAATATACACTCAACAGTACAATAATGGTCTTAAGGCTCAATTGCGATGTAATGGCTGGAGTCACAATAAAGGATATGAACAAGAAATAATATACTATACTGTACTGTTAAACTTATTACTTATCTTTTATGGCTTCTCTATCAGTCAGCATTAAACCTGTCAGCTTTACCACATATTCATCAAACAGAACAGCTGTTGCCCTGTTTACATACTGATACATATCTTCATAAGGTCTTATCGTACAGTAGTAACACCCAGAAATGTAAAAAGATTAAAGATTTTGCAGCCAACTTGGTCAAAAATGGAATAAAATCCAATAATGTAATAGCCTGACCAGTAATATAATACAACTATATAACTAATCACTAATGCTAATACTATATTGATATTATGTATAATAACAAAAGTATTTTTCTGATATGAAACCTAATTACATTATTTGGAATTTATTACATTTTTAGGGTTGACCATATGCAATAAATTATTTCATTTTTGAGAATTTATGTCCAGCTCCTGAAGTCCTCACCATTCAATCATTTTGGAATAAAGTGGGTATTATATCACATATATATAAATATTTAATCACAAAACCTAAATATTCTTTTATCATAAACACACACTGGACAAAACAGTAAAGCTCATTTCTCTATTAGGAAGTTACACATTTGGTAAACTAAATGACTTGTATATATGAACTGGTGTTTGTAAATATAAATACATGTTAAATTCAGCAAATAAACAGTAACTGTACTGAAATTTGATTTGAGCAGGGGTGCTGAAACTTTTGCATACCACTGCGTGTCATTTGCAAATATGAATAAACACAAACAGTTACAAGGCCTATCATTTATCATTATCATTTTTAAATGTTAAGATTCTGATGTACACATGATTTATTCATGATGAATAATGGTTGGTTAATTATATATATAATCAAAGTTAGTGTTACCAAAACGTTGTATTACACTATTGGATAACTTATTACATCTTTGACCAAGTTAAGAGCAAAATTTTCTTACGTTTTTGAGATTTTTGGGAAAGAATTACAATGTTAGGCTCTGCAGTTCCCTAATGTTCAAATCATGACCAACTATTTTCCTCAAAAGCAGTGTTTACCAGCCCTGGTCCTGGAGATCGACCTTCCTGTAGAGCCTCTCCAACCACAACCTGCCACACCTGCTCCACTAATGATCTTCTTCTTCAGCCCCTGATTGGCTGGATCAGGTGAATCAGTGTCAGGTAAGAGGTGGTCAGCTGTTAGATGCAGGTTGGAACTGAACTCTGCAGGAAAGTAAATCTCCAGGAGGAGGTTTGGTGACAGCATGTAGCTCTGCAGTCTTTATGCTCCCTCTTCTGGTGAAACAGCGCTACTGCACATTAACTACAGCCTGTGTTTTTTAATCGACGCTACGCTTAAATAATCCTGATTAAGAAACCCGGATTAAACAACGCGCTTTACATTCAGACAATCTGCGAGTTTAGAAACATAAAAATGTAAAATATATTAAATCAAACTGGACCAACTATCGGACTAAAACAGGAGCAGAGCTGAATGTGAAGCAGCGCTGATCGCTGATCCTTCAGTAAATCCAGCTTTACAGCGTTTCTCTACAGTTAAACCTGTTTATACTGAAACCTTTCAGTCCTTTCAGCTCAATAAGAACCGCGGCTCCGTCTTTGACCGCCACACATTTTGTAGCTCGGAGGAGAAGTTTAGTCCAGTTCTGAGTTCGGATTAAAACGGGTTTAAACCGGGAGGAAACACCAACACCCGGTCCTGCTTTAATCTCAGTCAGTATTCCTCATTTCTGTGCTGAATAATCTCACCGTGTTGAGTCCAGAGCGCTGATCTGGGGGATCTTCTCTCGGACTATGATGGCGACATGTTACCGTTACTTTCCTCAGAGTTACTTTCGGTTTGGTCTTCACTGAGGAAGCGCTGCTCTGATCACTCAGGTCCACTCAACTTTCCCTCACAGATGAAGTCTGTGTGCTCTGATCCTGCGGAGCCCGGGAGCTGAAAATGGTGATTATTTTAATAAAGCTAAACTAATACACGAGGCCACGAGTTAAGACAATATTTGTGACCTCAATATATGAATTCATGGATGCGCCTTATTAAAAATAAATCAACCTGTCTCCTTAAGGGTGATACTGATCACTTAGGTCCATTCAAATTTCCCTCACAGGTGATCCCTAAAGCTTGTGTCCAAACTAATGATGAACTGACCACTTTTCAGTGGCTCTTTTGGAAAAGCACTTGGTCACCAAAGTTTTAATTAAAATTATTATTTTTATTCATTGATAGTTTTTAATTAATTGATTCATTTATATTGTTTTCTATTCTGTTCCACAAAAGATGCTGCAACTAAAATTAAAAGCACTAAAGATTCTTTTTTGTTTTTATAGCTATTATTTTTATCACAGCTGCAGTTTTAATCAGGGCGTAAAGTCGGATTAATCAGGTGTAGGAATTTCTTTAAAAGGCACCAACAAAGTGGGGGCAGTACTGTTCAGTGTGTTTATTATATGGTGTTATCAGCTCTGATATCATGACAGTGTGATTAGATCATCCAGCCATATCTGTATCTCAATATCTAGATGCTCATGTAGCTTAACACACAGTCTGAGGTGATGATTTAGACATGCAGTTAGCACCATGCTAATTGGTTGGACATTACGTTAGCTACATTAGCCTCGTAGCTCCAGTGCTAAAGCTAAAGAAGCAAACTTCAGACCCCAAACATGCCTGATCAGCTACAACAGTACTAGATTGATAAATCAGTCATAAACCAGCAAGATGAACCTAAAACAGCCTAAAAAGAACAGAGAAAGAAAGGGGTAGTGAAGGTGACGCGAGTCTTTCTGAAGCTTTAAACTTTTTTGATCCACTGTTTTGAAAACTGGGGCCGGAGTCTCAAAGCACTTAGGACCCCCATAACCCACCATGACCATGACCATCATGTCTTCAGAGCCCAGAGAAGAACAGTGATGTGATAAAATAGCACCTGAGATGTTCTGAGAATCAGTGGAGCAGCCAGTTCTGATGAAGGTCCTAGTGGGTTATTACTGTACTAAGTGCTTTGATAATCTGGACCCAGAATCCCAGCAGATAAACATCAAAACTCATAGAGGACAATATTTAAATTAGTCCACAATAAAGGTGACTTTGTTTAATAGCAGTAAAAAGAGTGACATTATAAAGATTTTTGTTCTGTATTTCTTCAGTAATTATACATTCATTGTTATATTCATATGTTTTTACACATGAATGTAAAAAACATGAATATTTATACATAATATATACAAATATGTATATATAATATATTTATGTAATATTAATGTTAACAAAGTGATAAAAGATACACTTTAACAAACTATCATAACACCTAACTTTAGTAATATAAAATGTAAAATAAATCTTGTTTATTATATTATCATTTAACTGTATCCTAGCTGTGCTCAGATATTCCTCTCAGTGTTTTCTTTTATTTATGCATTTATATCCAGTAACATAAATCAGGAATTAGTGTTTTTCACATATTTATACATATAAGACATAAATACACTGATCTGAGGGCAAAAACAGACCATGTGGGCTTCCTCACTCACTTCCCATTGGCTGTGTGTATCTTAACCCTGTCTGTCATTGGTAGATAGTGAATCAGCTGATGTGTCACCGTCTCTTTAAGGTTTAGTCCAGGAGTTACAAAACCACTACTGCAGGATGTTCAGTCCTTCGTTAGAGACTGAGGGATGGGGACGGTCACTAGCTGGTCACGGTGGTCCCAGGTTAGGAGGCTGTTGTTTGTAACCTCCATGAAGCTTTGAGAATCTGGCCCCTGATTTTTGGAGTGAAGCTCAACTTGTCTGTAATGAAGTCCAGACAAGTGACAAATCAGAGGAACGATCTGAATAAACGAGTAAAGAAAACCTGCTCCCAGACTGGTGGGCTGCGTGACTCAGTTACGCTATGAACATCCTCCCATGTTCTGTGGCAGGTATAAAACGCTGAGCAGGACCAGCTGACCTCGATTTAGGATCAAGATGAGCAGGAGCAAAAGGTCTAAGGGACTTTAAAAGAGGGATCAAAGATGACAGGAGCTTCAGTCACAAAGACTGACCAGTGTTTCAACAGGAACAGTGACTAAACTGACCTCTGCATTCAGATCTGTGGGAAAGACACCAGTAAACAGGGCTGGAAATTGTGGTCAGTGATGCTCGTTCATTACTGTGATCTGCAGCTGTTCCTCAGGTGACGATCCAGAACATGATCAGACTGTCAGCAAGAACAGTCTGACCACAACTGACCACACTACATAAACAGAGTGATTTAACTCTTCCTCACTGTTTTCTGCTTTATTTATGTGTTTATATACAGTAACACAGGCCGTCAGACATTAGTGTTCACATATGCGTACGCCTTAAACGTGAACCATAACATAAAAATAAACTGTTAATTTAATTGTTTACACGATGATGTACTATTTTACTCACGTTCTGTTGGTTCTGTGTACAATGGAACATTTTCTCTCACTGGTAGAAGAGAAACAGCTGAAACGCCACTTTCCCTTTGGGTTTTATCTCAAAGTTACACTACATGGCCAAAAGTTTGTGGTTCTATTCTATTAGTATTAAAAGAGTATTAAAAGAGAGTTTGTCCCCATTTGCTGCAGTAGCAGCCTCTACTCCTCTGGGAAGGCTTCATAGTAGATTTTGGAACATTGCTGTGAGGATTTGATTGAGCATTAGTGAGGTCAGGTATTGATGTTGGATGGTCAGTTCTGGATCTCCAACTCATCCCAAAGTTATTGGATGGAGCTCCATCACTCCAGAGAACACAGTTCAACTGCTTCACAGCCCAATGCTTGGGGGCTTTATACCCCTCTAGCCCACGCTGGGCATTCATGGTGACCTTAGGCTCATGTGCAGCTGCTCCAGATCATCCCATTGTATTGGTCAGTGCTTTTCTATGGAGATTATACAAGCTGTGTGTTCATTTGAACTCCTGTGTCAGCAGTGAGTGACCTTAATGCAGCTAAATTCAGTAATAAGAAGGGTGTCCACAAACTTTTGGACACAGTGTATGTCACAGCTACCTCAGCATGTCCTCTTCTTCTTTTGAGAATGAGGCACAGAGAGGGTCTCTAGCTGGTCACAGAGTGGTCCTGTTCTGGCGCCACGCTATCAGTATCAGACATGCCTCAGTGCTAAGAGTCCTGAAACTCACCATAGTTTAACAGCACTGACCACAAACAGAGTCCAGCACTTTCAAATAGAGAAGTTACGTTTTACTGTCCACACACAAATAAAGAAACCAGAGTGTAGAAAATCTCCACCAAGTGTTTCTGTACTGTTTTATCTTGAGTTGTGGATGACCAGCCTTACGTTTAGCTTAAACTGGACCCTTTGGTCATAAGTTATCATTGATGCCATTGAGAGTTTCTCTCTCTCCACAGCTCTGTCTCTCTTCTGCAGAGCCACAGTGAACTAAGTGAGCTTATTGAGGGTAAGAAGTGTTAACTATCAAACATTAATCACACAGAATGTGTGTGTATATATATATATATATCCCTACACTCTTATCCCGAATTAGCTGACTCTACTAGAAGATGGCGTGGAAACCCGCTGCCTTACACTGTTTACGTTTTTACACAAGGTGAAACTGAACACTTTAAGCTGTATTAACACAGAACCTTAACGGGATGCAGCACACAAATCAAGTTTACATTAGTCTTTACTCAAAATCATTAGTTCACATAAATCATCTATTTTCTGAAGTCTTAATTCTATAAAATAACTATTTTAAGTTAAACATACAAAAATATATATAACAAATAAACATAACATTATTTATCACACTTAAAATGATTTGTTAATAAAAGTAATGTTTTCTTGTAGTTTAAAATTGGAAGGGAAGAATTTCAACACTACATTTCAATGTTCCTGTCACGCTTCCTGGTTCTCATTCGGACTCTCAGACCACCAAGAACTCCACTTCCCAGAATCCTTCAGTCAGTCACGAGACTCTTTCAACCAATCACAAACCACCTAACAGATCACAGTCACCGGAATACTAACCATCATCACCTGTTGTACTCCGTATATATATACCGGTCTGTTTGAAACATATCTTTGCGAAGTATTGCCCTTACCTAGTCTGTGCATACCGAGCCGTTTGTTTTTCTGATTGTTACTCCGTGTTTGACCTCGCTTGTTTTTTCGTTTTCGATTTTCGCTTCTGTTTTGGCTTTGTTGTTTTGGTGTATGCTCTTTCCTGGTTACGACCCCCGCCTGTTTTTTCGACTCCGCTCTCGTCTATGCCCCTGTATTTCGTCTGCCTCGTTTGGTTGTTGACCTGGTCTGGTGTTAACCCTGTTTATTCACGTTTGAATAAATCTTCCGGATTAACTTTTATCCGCGTGTCTGATCTGCGAACCCCGCGTTACAGTTCCAATGTATTTTATTGACAAAACACTGCAAGGTAACACTTCAAATGGGTTACTGCACCAACACCAAACGTGTCGATCAAAAGACAGAATTAAAACTCCTTGTTAAAACTCCACCCTGTTAGGAGACGTAATATACCTGCACAGCATTGAACAATATCTGCTCTATTTCTGTAAACAACTGGACACAAAGACACACATTATAACCTGATACAAGCCTTCAAAACCTCACCTTGACTGATGAAGTGTTAACTATATCATATCAGCTGAGCTCTAATATGCAGTTCTGAGCGCTACATCTTGTACTGTGGCTGAACATTCATATCCCTCATTAAACTTAAATCAGCTCCACATAATGCAAAAAACAGCACCTGTTAAACACTTCCTTTGCATGATTGGTGACGAGGGCAATGAAACCGTGTGAGCCATCTTGTATTTCATCAAACTTGAAGGTTTGGAGAGGCAACTGAAGTCAAAGAGGGGACCATAACAATATGGTGAGCACAGGGGCACCAGGT